ATGTTTATGTCTTAACTAAGCATAATTTTATCATCAATTTTGATGAAAAGAATTTGAATTTTTTCTTTAGGAAAAAAAAAAACATAATCTAATTTGCTCAATTTCTTGTAAATTGGCTATTTCTTTTGAGCCTAAAGATGATATCGAGTTGACATAACGAAGACTACGGCTTCGTCTGGGGCATTTTTTTACTGCTTTATAACATAGATTTTTATGATAAATATTTCTTAAAAGCAACAAAAAATAGCAGGTAAAAACTATTACAAACAAAACCTAAGTTTATTATTATTCCAAAGAAAACACAATCAATTGAAAATTGTCTCAACATGCTTTAACAAAAAAAGAAAAAACCTTAGAAAATTTAGAGTAGCAGCTCATTATAAGAAAATTAGAAAGTGGGGAAGAGAGAAGGACATCAATCATATCAGCAACTTTTTGGCTAAGCTTTGTTTGCATATCAATGGCACTTTCTCTGCATATAGAAGAAAAGAAAAAGACAGCTTTGTTTATTCCTCTTTAGCTTATCTACAGTCCTGAGATGGACCATTTGCTCACAAGAGCAAGCAGCTTTAGAGCTCTTGTCAATGTGATGGCACATTTGTTCATCTGTGGCTTGTTTTTTCCTGGTTAAGGAATGTTGAGAGTATCAGATCATTCATGATGATTGTCACATTATCACAATGATGAATGGAAAATTTTATTTTTTTGATTTTAGATAATGATTTTGCACATGATGAAAAAGAAAGTAAAAATATGATGAGTAAAATTGAATTTTCAACCTAAAAAATTAGAAAGGAAAATGTCATAAAGGGATATTATTCATTTGACATTAGGGTTACCTTTCGTTAGAATTGGTGATGATGTTAGTACAATATGAAGTGCTAAAACTATAATTAATGTATCATATAGACTTGGTGAATGGAATATGTTGTTGATGTAGGAGATGTTGCATGATGGTTGGGATGGTCGTTCTCCTTTTACAATGGAGAGAATAGGATATCACGAGTTAGCCTGTGACTAAAGATGTTTGGGACAACCCCTAATTTGAATGAAGAGGGAAGTAGGGGAATAGAGGTAGTGGAGATATCTATATCTCCCGTAAGGAGGGAGAGTTAGGAAATATATAGTTGTCGGGCAACCTAGAGTTTATTGATAATTAGAGATGCCGAGAAAGCCCTTCTTGTTGAAGGAGGGCCAACTAAGCTATTTAAAGCTAATAAGCAACTTCATATAATCAAAGCACACAGTCTCCTAAAAGGGCGGTGAATTGTGCAGTGTAAAGTTGGGGGGCAATTTGATATGGCAAAGGTAGTTCTTCACCTAGTAGTAGGTGAAATAAGCAGCATGAAGATGAAAAAACAATACAGATATAGGAAAATAAGGGTTGACCAACTAGCACTCCAAGAAATGGCTAGATATAGAGAAAATTTTATGATATTAGGATTTTATTTTTGTTATAGGCTATTTAAAACATGTAGAATTAGTGTCTTTTATAAATTTGAATAGGTTTGGTGCAAATTTGTGTATTAATATTTCAAGTACAATTCAAACTTAAAAGATAATTTCAAATGTTAGAACACTCAGAAAAGATACATTAATCAAAGAAGGCCTTCACACAATTCAAATTAGTTAATATTTCAAGTAATTCAAAATTAGATTATTTCTATTTTTGAAGACAAGTGCTTCAAGATCTTTTAGATGTAAATTTTATTCTTTTTTAGTCTTATATTATTAATAGAAATTAATCTTATTATTATACATTACAATATAAATTGTACTTTACAACCTACCTATTTTTGTATAATTACAACAAAACTAACTTGCATTAATTAACTTAATAAGAACTTAAAACTTGAACTAACTAGATGATGTGGATCATACTACATGATTAGTTTCTTTAATTGAAATTAATTAAGATATTTGATTTAAAGAGGGATTGATATAAAACAATTTTGAGTGGTGATATTTTACTGATACTTTATTTTTTAGCAGATTAGAACTTATTTGAACTATGCACTAATATATAAACTAATATTAAACATTAAATGTATTGAGGTAAGAATTTCACTGAAAACTCAAAGACCAATCACTTGCAACCATTAAAGAGAGTTTCTAGTGAGAGGAAGTGTAGAAGAGCATAAACTGTATCTTCTTCTCTACATCTTCAGTTACTCGTGATTTAGGCTTCATTTGGGACGACTTTCATACTGTTTTTTAAGCATCTTTTTAGTACTTTTTTTAAACTAGAAAGCTACTTTAAGAAGCAGAAAGAGAGCAGTCTCAAACGGTGCCTTAGAATCTAGTTGATTAAGAGTTGTCCATTTCCAGGAAGGAAGAGAGGCTTCTCTATCTTATTGTTGTAAAATGAGAGAGCAGTAATATTCTCGATATAAGAAATTGGATAGTTAATATAGGTCATTGCATTGAACCACTACATTAATTTGCATCTCTTTTACTTTCTACAAATTTACTATTGCTACATCTTTTATATGTTTGAGAATACTATGTGATGACATGAAAGATATTGTGATATACAATTTGAGAGAGGTGTTTGAAAAATATTTTTTATTCAAAAAATTTATATCATGAAAAAATGTCTAAAAGATTTTTTTTACTTGCATTTTTTTTAAAATTAGAAAAACTTTACTTGTAAATCTATTTTTTTATTTTGAAAAGAAATGAAAATAATGTTTTTAAAATTTTACTTTAAGTAAAACTAATTCACATACCTTTATGACTCAATTTTATTTGAAAAATCATTTTATGCATAAAAAACTTGAAATTTTATAATTGCTTAAATTTTTTTTTCCTATTGTATTTCAATTTTATTTTGAAACCAAAACTAATTATCAAATACATAGAATTACATTTATCCAATCAACATGCCATATGATAGCATCTTAGAAGTTGGGTCTTAATCAAACGGTGGAGGAAACTTGAGCAATAATTTCCTACTATGTGGTGCCAAAACGTTTCAAATAAAAGAATATGTTAGTGCATCACTGGCTTTTTTATAATATAGAAAATGAGTCATTTGAAGCTGCTCAGGAAGGCCTTAGGAAGCAATAATAAGCTTAGGATAACACAGTGGTTGAAACCCCTTCAAAAGAGGCTTACAGTACCTTAAGACATATTAGGGATGTTTGAGGACCACTAAGGAGGGAACAAGAAGCACTAAGAACACTCAATGAGCTTTTAGTGACATTTTTTTAAGGGAATGACCTATGATTATAATGGGGGATAGCTTTAGGTCTTCTCTCCCTTTCTCAAGCTCCTTGGGGAATTGACCAAGGAAATGGAGAGTTGAATACAACCCATTTAGCATGTTAGTTTGAAATTTAAGCTTCCAACCAATAGGTTTTATATTTAAAATCTTACATATATGATGAGTGTCAATTTATGACTATATTTGTTCAAAGTTGTCAGAAAAAATAGAGAGTTAGAAATTTATTAAAGTTGTTTTTCTCTTTGGAAGAGTGGAAGCTAGAAGGTAGAATTTGGGTGTGAGCCTTTCACCCCCTTAATACTTGGGTTAGGTTAGCCTATTTTTCACTTCTAGTAGTTTTGTCAAAGTTTTAGTGATCTAAGCTAGGTTTGAAAGGCATATCAACATTATACATGTGTAATTGGGTTCAAGTTCGGCTAGCCAAGCCTAAATGAGCTTAAGTGAGTTAGGGCTAACTTGGGATAACATGGGATTAACCTAATTTAGGTTGATTAGGTTGGATTGGGTTTGATTTTGAAGTTTAATAATGGTAAAAAAAATAGATTCAATAATGGTCAAATTGACCCAAATGGCAAATTGACTCAAATGGGTCCAATTGAGTCACATTGGGTAAAAAGCAATAAGGTAGGTTAAAATTTTGGCAAAGCCTAGGTTTATCCAATTAGAGTATAGGTTTGATCAATATATGGTCAAAGGAAGGTTTGAGTTAGCTTGTTTAAGTTGATTGGGCCTAATGTGTACTAATGGATAAAATGAGTCACGTAATGTGTAAAGGGTCCTAATTAGGCCACCCAAGGCATGGGTTGATGAAGTTTAACTCAATGTGTGCTTTTTAAGCTTAAAGTGAGCTTAAGAATTGACCAAGTTGACTTGCACAAGCCAATAAGCCTAGGATACATATTGGTTGACCCATTGGACCCAAGATGGCTCCTAAGCTATCCAAGTTTAATTTGGATCTAATATAGGTGAATCAACTTATATATGAGTTACATGAGACCTCCTATAACTCTTTATGGACTAATTAGAAAAATGCATGATTTAAAATAAGTACAAGATCAAATTATGACATTAGCTTAACTAAGTATAGATTATAACTAGGGTTAGTTAGGATGAGTTTAACCCAAGAGGCTCAATTATAAGCTTGTATTTATCATGTCTTAAAAAGGTCAACACAAATAAACTTGAGTGAACCCTAGTTGAACCTATGCAACAAACTCTTTTAGTTCTAGAGGATAAATCTATCAAGTAGTGAGCTAACAAATCCTTATGGTGCTAAGCCATAATCTCTACCACATTGGGGCAACAAGTCTTCTTCTAGGTGGGTGCTAAATTGAAAAGCCTACTATTAAACTCTAGTACATAAGACTTCCTTTCAAGCCAATTGTCCCAACGTAGCTCTTCACCTAGGGGTGTCAAAATAGATTTTCGGATCATGTTCATGTCGAACTTGGAGTTAACCCGGGTTTAAATGGGCTGACTCGAACCCGACCCGATTCTATAAATGGGTTCAAAATTCAGACCCGGACCAGACCTGTGCAGGTTGCCAGGTTGACCCGACCCAACCCAACCTAGGTGCTGAGTGTGCTGACGCAATCACGGGAGGTGATTGTGTAGTCTGAGACCTCTGCGGACTGCAGAGTCCATATGCAAGGCGAGACCGCGAGAGGGAAGAGAATTTTGAATAAGTGATTTCTAAATAAGTACTTTCAAAAAATTTCATATATGAGTTACAAAGAATAAGTGATTTCTAAATAATTATATACTTTTGAATAAGTACTTTCAAAAAATTTCACTTACATTGCAGTTCAACAATCTTGATGGGAAGAGAATTTTGAAGAAATCATGACTAAAGAAAGAGCTTGGAAAGTAGCAGCTTCACTAACAATAGAAAACAACAAACAAATGTAATACAGAAAAGCATCAAATATTCATACTACAGTTCGTCTATGCGTATAGAAATCCTTAGAGATAAAAATTAAAATGAAAGTATGAATATTTTAATAGATTCCACTGTAATAAAAAATTGGAGATGATTACCAAATCCTGTGAGCTTATGGGACCCTTCGCAGAACACTCTGTACAGCCTTCTTAATGCCCTCCTGGTCGAGTGTACTTGTCAAATAGACTTCCTGGACCTGGCAATGATACAGAAAAGAAAATCTTGTCAAATAGATATATATATAAAGTTCAATCATTTACTTAAACAAGCCAAATACAAAATTAATAAGAGCCGGCTCAATCACATTCATTCATTTCGACAAGAACTGGGTATATAGAAATATATATTTACAAATACATATACAAAGTCTTAAATTCTTAGATATATTCTCCTATTAAAACTCATTGAATAATCCATAAAATTTTAGACACCGTAGGTTTTATGGTGCTTAAAAAAATACTAGTGTACTTATTGACCTCCACACGGGCTAGAAATCCTACTCAAATCCCGCTAAAACAAAGGGGCATCTCCAACCGAACTCCAAATGCTTGAATAGTGTTGATAGAGAGCTCCAGCGGAATAGTAAAACTTCCGCTATTTGGTTGCGGGTGAACAGTGGGACACCAATATTGACATTGCACTGTTCATCTCCGTTATTTTTCTGTGTCTACCTAACTTGCCGAAGAAAAGCGCGAATAGAAGAAAGAACATTACCTTCGCAAAATTGGAGTTTGATTGGATGAATCACGGCATTTTGGAGTGAAAAATGAGGTTTCGGTTGGAGATTGTCTTACCAGCAAATCGACGCCATTTACGTCGTTTCTGTGAATCATGCCGATATCCCACAGCAATCCACTCACCTTGATTGTTGCCTGCGCTCGCTATTAAAATGAGAATGAAGTCAGAGCTCTATGTTTTTTCTTCTTGCACACAAGCAACTGCCGCGAATCCTTCCCAGCCCTATCCGATTCCAGTCGCCAGCCCGATTCCTCAGTCGAAGTCCATGGCAGAGCTCAATCTAAATCCCCGAATACAACCTGAAATCCCTACACCAATCCAGCCCGCTCTTCTTCCCGTCCAATCCAAAAACCCCGAGCTTGATCGACCACACTCCACCAGATCAACTTGCGAACCCTCTGCCGACCTCGCCTCTTCTCCCTATACCCGACCTTTATGCTACCTACTTGATCTAAACACCCTACAGCCGAACTCTAGCCTGATCTTCCACAATCCGACTCCATTTGCACCCATTGCCGCAAACCTCCGTCTCCACACACTTCCGCCAACTCCAAGCTACCCGACCCCAGAGTCGTGATTCTAACCTCTTCCGATCCAATCCAGCCGAATCCCCTCTATAACCGCCACTTCATCCAGCTGCAGATCCCTGACCTTTTCACCTGACACCTGTGCCGAACTCACAGGCACAGGAGAAGGTTTATTTCTAGATATCTTATTTTAATTTTTTTTATTAATTTAGCTTAATTTTATTATTATTATTATTACTAGTATAATTATTATTATTTTATTAGTAGTTTGTTAATAATAATAATATTATTATTTAAATAAAAAAGAGAAAAATTAAAAATAAAAAAAGAAAAAAAAAATAAAAAATGAAGAATTAAAAAAAAAAAGAGAAAAGAAGAAAAAGAGATTAAAAAAATAGTGTGCATTTTTTCCATCATCGTCGTTGTCGCCTCGCTCATGAAGATATACTGTTTTCAAAACCCTTAAAACTAAAAGTCCCGTTCTCGGCGCTTGTGGCGCGCCAAGGGGACCCCCCTACAAGCTCTCGTAGCATGGTGGGAGGGAACCCCATACGATGCTTACAGCGAGGGGGGTATACCTTTAAGCGCTCTCATAGCATGACGAGGACAATCTTAATTACCCGTGTATAAGTTACAGTGCTTACGGGAAAAAAATTGCAAGTCTTTTACATAGGTACCTCGAAGAGCCCTGCACGCTCTTGTAGCATGGTGGAATTGAAGATTACGGCCGTAGTGTTACCTGACAACTACCCTACATGCTCTTGTAGCATGGTAGGGAAGGCCCATCTCCCGAAATTTCTTCTAAATGGGGGAGAAGTCGGGAGGCTGCCGAAATTCTGAGTGAACAGAGGACCTAGACTTAAAACAAATGCAGGGGACAAAACTATAGGGAGCCAGACTAAATGAAATTGCACTTTACAACAACAACAACAACATCAAGCCTTTGTCTCATTAATCAATATGCGTAAGAAGATTAGTAGTGAATGTAGCCCACCCTGCGGTCAGTATTAGCTTGCAGATGAATACACGCATTCACTTGCGAACACACCGACAGTCACTCTACAAATGCACTTAAGAGACATGCAGTGAATGCTATGAAATCTTCCTATCAATATCAACTAACCTGCAATCAACAATGGCTAACTAACAAGATAAGTGCATTGATTCGTTAACGAGTAGCAATAGCAGATATATCATAATGATGAGGGGTCCTTTGCAGACAAATAAAAGTTGATATATGAATGGATGTTGCTCATCTGACAATCTACACGGCGCAAAAATGAATGTGTTAATCTGCCCGCAAACAACAATGCCTCTTCCAAATGTGCACAATAGTATGCTTACAAGTGCTAAGTAAATGTAACGGTACCCCTACAGTCAAGAACAGTGCAATGACAGTCAGATACACAGTATTTTTGATTGACTTCCTGCTCATGTTCAACACATGTTTGGCTCGATAATAAACAAGCCTAACATTAATAAGATTTTTCACCTAGTTAATGAATTTGAGCTCATTTGTTTTCTGTTCAACAGTTAACCAGCCAAACAGACAAACCAGACTAGTTGTATCACCCTTACACCCATCAAAACTATTTCTCAAAAGCAATAAAATATAAGTTGCAGACTGGTGATCGTTCTGATGCGAAGTAAAATATTGTTTGAGAATGGAGAGTGTCTGAGTAAGAAAGGAAAAGCTCTATGAGAAAACAAGAGTAAAAGGACAAACCTGTCTTCCAGCTCGTGCAAGAAGCGTGAACTGTTTGTCTTTTGCTGGAACCTGAGGAAAAAGTAGACGAGAAAGATGTTAGCTATATAAGGCGCTTCTTGGCTAAAAGAGGAGTAGATAAGCTTCTGAAAAAGTTGAATTATTACACTAGAAAGCCACAACTCCAAGTCTTGCGAGACCACCCTCTTCTCCAAACCTTGACGTCCAAAACGAACACCAGTTATACTGCACGGAATATTTAAAAATTAACCAGTTCATCACATTCAAGCTCAGATAGATGAGAAGGCGATAATAGGAGTAGAATTCAGATTGGATTAACTGAATGGAAAAGTAGTTTTGACTTCTTATTTCCTCAAAGCACCAATCAAAATTAGCATTGATAATGTCATCACGAGACCTAGTTTGATTGGGGATTGGATGCAATTTAAGAGAAGACAGATTAAAGTTGTTTAAATTTGGATGAAAATAATATTAAATATGAGAGTAGCAATGGCCGGCACAATATTATTGATTAGGATCATGATATCATTAATGCAAATATGCATGATTGTCATGATATAATCCAATAGGGCTACAATATTGATAATGAGAATATATATGATCACGATCCGATTGATAACGATCAAGATATGAATTATATAATTTGTCATCTCAATATTTTAAAGAATGGGGACCATAAGTATCATGTTGTGAAGAGAATGATTTAAAATTCCACTTATCATTAAAATAATTTTAAGAAAGATCATCCTAGGAGTATAAAGATGGATGGTTAGAATTAAAGAACTTACGAATGACAGTAGAATTTATAAGAAAGAAGATAATGGATGTATTAGAGTGATTTGACTTTTGGCCGACACACTTCAAATAGCATTTGTGCGATGTCGCTCACCATTCCACTATATTCGATAGAGATGACTCCGAAATACTTAACAAAGTCAATATTGCTAATCTAAAAGATGAAGCAGATGAGAGATTATAAGGGGAAAGACCAAATGAAAGGCCAAGTAAACCCTGAGCTCCAAACCAATCACATAATTGATAGGGCCAATGCATGACAGGATCCCACTTGATAACTAGAAGGACCTGAAAGATTAGAAAGATTTGGAGAATATTACATATGAAAAGACTCTGAAGGGTAATGAAGGTTAGGATTTACAATACAGATTTAATATGTAATACAACAACACAACAAAATTAAGCATTTGTCCCACTACGTGGGGTCAGCTACATGAATCTTTTTTCTTCATTGTCTCCAGTTAAAAGTCAAATTCTCATTTAAATCTAATAAAGAAAGATCAAAATATTTTCTAACCAAGTCTTTTTAAGTCTACCTGATGTAGGACTAAAATGCTTGCAATGAATTTGTTAAGAATTTGCACAACTTATTGATTAGAAAAATGACAAATAGAACTATTAGCAGGTAAAATGATGAAACAAAACGAAAGAGCGGTCACTCTCGTTTAGGCTAAGTTGCATAGCAAAAACGTTGAATCATTAAAATAGCATAGAAAATAAACATATAAACATATGAGCTTTCAACGAAAATCCCTAATCTAACAATAAGATTAGAAAACAAATGAAGTGCACTCAACTCCCTACGTTTACTAAGCTCGACAGAATCGAGCAAACACGACCTTCATGACTACAATCAAATCACAAGAAATGATTAGACTTTAAGAAATATGAGAAAAGGGAGATTAGAAAACCTTCGTTAAGGATCGGTTGCAATCCTCCATTCGACGGTTCCAAGTTGTTCTTCAATAGCCTCGACCAAAATATCCAGGATGCATTCCACGTACTCTTCTACGGTGTGATCGATGCATGGGTTGACGTCGAAGAAGGTTGAGTGCAAGATGCAAACAAATCCTTGCTCGTCATAGGAGAGGCCGTAGTCAAGATCGGGATCATCCGTGCACCGACCATTTGCGGCGAAGTGCTGGAGGAATAGCCTCTTTGACGTCCTTGTTGTTTGTCTTTGAAAGAGAAGAATTTCTCTCAAAATCCAAGTAAGAGGAGGTAAGAGAGGCGGTCAGCCAAGAGAAAGTGGTTTGGGGAAATTAAGTTCAGCTTTTGGGAAATTAAAGTGGAGGGAAAAGGGTGTCGATCAATCCCCTAATTAATCCCTAGGAAAGGAATTAATCAAAGAGGAGAGAGAGAAGGTAGGGGTGGCGGCATGAGAGGAAGCTAGGTGGGATTTGTTTCCAATTCTTCATATTTGCTTTTGGTAAGAAATAATAAGGTGTGGGGCTTAGGAAGTTTCGGCCAAGAGAAATTTTTGAAACTTAAATTAATTCCAAAAAAGGGATATTGGGTTTAGGAAACAAATCCAAAGAGAAATAAAAGAGGGGGTGGGGGGGGGGGGGGGGGGGGGGGGGGGGCGAGGGCTTAATGACTAGGGAGGGGAATTTGGAAAGCTTTTAATACTTCCTTAGATTAGGGAATTTAATTAATGATGAAATTTCTCAATCCTAATTTAATTTAAATTCAAATAAGCGAAGATTTGGAAACTTTCCTAAAATAACTTTCTTGATTTAGGAAAGAATTCAAACTCAAATAATTTTGAATTTTGAATTTAAATCTTCCTAACTTAAGAATAATTAATTAAGGAAAGTATTCATGAGGGGTTGAGTTTGTGGAGGGAAGATGGGGAAGGCGGGTTAGGGCTGGCGGCTAGTTGGGTGGTGGGGAAATTTCGGCGGGTGGGTGGGGGGTTATAAAGGTCGGCGGCTTGAGGTGAGATGGAGTTAGGTTGCCTGCGGTTAGGTGATGAAGGAAAAGGAAATTAGATAAAAGAGAAGAACCACGAACCCGGCCGTCTCCAAGATTGGTGGGTGATTAAATTTCCCTCTCCAAGGGACCTCGCTCCAATCTCTCAAGCTCTCATGAGAAATCACACCAAGGGAAGAAATTTTATTAATCAATCATTCATTAACTTGATGTTAACCTCAGAATAACAAAACAAAAAAATCTTGCGTACAAACCTTCTACCCGACGGATCCACGAAACCAGCCGCAAATCCTGCTGAGTTCGACTTGAAAAGAAGAACAATGGGGCTATAAATAGCCTTTTACAATGACTCAAAACATAAAAGGACAACCATGCCCCTACGGCTTACATACGACCTTCCTTAATAAAATGATACAACGGGAAACTAATAAAGAAAATACAATATGACATCATAAATAAGAAAATACATAAAATAAATCAGAAATACAATGATTCAATCGTGGCCGTAGATCAACGGCCACATCTCTGATAGACCTTCCATGATCTGATGTCCCCATCACTACCCCTACCTTTCTTAATATAAGTCAAATCTAATACCTCTATGTTCCTAACCGGGTCATCGGAAGGACGTCGTTTTATGTGACCAAACCATCTAAGAATACCATTAAAAAAAAATTATGATGTTTTTGAGGAAAATAAACAGATCATATTTGGCTGTCAACAATATCGTGAATAGAGTAGACACTATTTTAACAATACATAAGGGTCACATAACATGAAGAACTGCGACAAATCAATGGAATAAAGTAGCAGTACGGGTCAGGAAAATATTAGAATCTGCCATCAGGAATGTTACCCTGCACAAAGTATACAGAAGCGATGGGATTGTATAAATTCCAATTGTTTTGTTCAACCTGAAGTTAATAAAAGAACCTAATAGCTGTTGAAAAAAGGAAAATTATAATATGATAAAATAATGTATCATTTATATGTTGTAACTGATCAACTTGCAAATGTTTCCACTTTTTGCATCATATTTAAAGAACGCAAATTAAGAGAAACGCAGCATACCCATCCTCTTGGAGTAGTTCTTTGCATATGCTTTCAAGCCCAGGGAGAGGTTCAATGTTAATATTATCGGGCATTACAAGAGTGTCAGATTCTGACTGGCCTTCCTAAGGATAAAGTTAATAGCAAGTCATTATTACTACAGATAAAACTGCAAAGACAATAACCAGTACGTGAACCCAACAACTTACTTGAGGAATGACTTTGTCCAGTGTCTCCAAAAGAGGATCGTCCTCCAACTGCTTGATTGAAAGAGTTAACCTAGACTTCTCTCTGAATATTGGAGAAGAAAAAGGTCAAAGAAAAAAAATAAAAAAATTAAAATTAAATTTAAATTTAAAAATTAAAAAAAAAGGTCAAAGAAAGCTGATGTCATGTTGAACATCAAGTATTTATCTAATGATCTGTATAAATCCATGTTTATGTATATAAATTCGATAGAGCTTCAGAATTTACCTATAAATCATTATGATATTGTTAATGACGTATGTACCTAAAATCCTAATTTTTCACCATGAAAGCCAACTTTCAGGAAATTATTTCTAAATAGCTAGGGCAAACAATTACAGGGAAAGATTAATGATTGAATGACTTATGAGGTATGATCATAAAAGAGTGAATCACGATTAACATATAATTTGTTTGTTTAGTACCAAAAAGCCTTTGGATCTATTGTTCAGAGTGATGGTGAAATAGATGGGGATATTATCAGCAGAATTCAAGTTGGATGGTTGAAGTGGAAGAATGCATCGGGCTTGTTATGTGATAGAAATGTACGCCTCAAACTTAAGGGAAATTCTATAAGATGGTAGTGAGGCCTGCAATGCTTTATGGTGCCGAATGTTGGCCATTAAAAGAGAAGCATAATACTAAGTTAAGTGTGGCAGAGATGAGGATGCTCAGGTGGATGAGTGGCTTTACCCTTAGAGATAGGATACGAAATGAGCATATACGTGAAAAGGTTGGACTAGCTCCAGTAGAAGATAAGATTAGAGAGAGTCGCCTTAGATGGTTTGGTCACATAAAACGGCGACCTTGCGATGACCCGGTTAGGAGAGTAGAGATATTAGATTTGACTTATGTTAAGAAAGGTAGGAGTAGACCTAAAAAGACTTGGTTAGAAAATATTAGGAATGACCTTTTTTTATTAGATTTAAACGAGAATTTGACTTTTAGTAGGACACAATGGAGAAAAAGGATTCATATAGCAGACCACACGTAGTGGGATAAAGGCTTGATGTTGTTGCTGTTGTTGTAGTACCAAAAAGCCACAACTACTAGCATGAAAATGCGCATTTGGCCATACATTTGATAGTTCCACGACAAATGTTCTTCAATTGGTGATTCATCAACCCTAATCATTACAGTTGATAATGTTTACCAAGAAATCAATGGTTTGAGGATAATTATAGTGACGCTTAATTAATTTTGCATTTTTCCAGGCATGGCAACGGAGTTTTTAAAATGGGGAGAAACATTTACTTTATAAAATGAGAAAAGCAAGCAAGCTAGAAGAGTAACCATGGGAGGAAGACTTGTTCTGCCGAATGCATTCCTCTTGTATTAACCATCTATTACGTACTATAACCTTTTCCTGTCTGGGTGATCAGGGAGGTTGAAAGCTAAGAAGGAACTTATAAAATGGTGTTAGTTGAGATCCTTCTTGTTCCTTAAAACAAGGTTAGAAAATAGTAGATAAGGCGGAAATGTTGAGCTAAATCTAACTCATATGAATAAGTCCCTTCTAATAAACAAATGATGGTGGCATATACTGATAGGTAATTAGTACTTGTGGTCATTCCTCATGAGATAAATATTATCAAAAAAGAGCCCTTTCTGGAATGGAATTTTGAAAGTTGTTTATGTAGTTAAATGTGTCCACTCTATTAGTTGGTAATGAAAAGAACTTTGCTTTCTGGTAAAACGTATGGATAACAAACGTTCTTCTAAGCTGCCTCTTCTCTATCCTGCATTTTGGCAAGCTAAGCATTAAATTTCACTAAACAATTTCATGGCAAACAAGTACAAAATCAAAATAACATTATACAACGAGACCTTCTCAATCATGCAGCAAAATGAAAATAAGCATGACATTCCCAGGATTTAGACAACCTTAAGCTTTTAAAATATACCCCAACAACAACAAATAAAAAAAAAAGTATCAGAGAAAACCATAATCAAAACAGTATTTGCATACTAAGAGAAGATGAGCAACACCTGGATAGGGTAGGAAGAGAAGGGTCCCTTGATGGCACACCAAGATGTGCGGAAAGCATGGAAACCTTACAACTTTGACAAAAAAGCAGACAAAGAAACTGTATACTGACACACCCACCCACACACCGAGACACAAATGTACACACACAATAAATTAATGAATTAAAAGAAGCATATCATGGCTAGTATTGTACGTTCTTTTCATCAGTAGTACCAAATTAAAAAGGACGAGGATATATCTAAAATCATGCAAATCTGATTTCTTACCTATTTATATGTATAACTTTGACCTTAAGCTGCTCTCCTTCTCTAAGAATATCTCTTACATCATGAACCAAATCCCAAGAAACCTCCGAAACATGCACTAGCCCAGTGAGATGATAGTGTCCTAAAAAGGGATAGTTTGTGTTAGCTTATTCATGTTACGGTTACCACTTATAAATTGTTAAAGCATTAAATACCGTCAGGGAAAAGCAAATGCACAAATGCACCATAATCTTCCACCGATCCCACCCTAGCATCAAAAACATCTCCGACCTTAACCTGACTGGAATATTTCGACCAGTTAGCATCTTTCTCAGAGAAAATCAGCCTTTTTTCTTCCTCATTCGCTTCAATCACCTACATGCAAAAGAATAACAAATTGGTAATTGCTTAGAGACATTTCAGTTAACAATGATTACAGTTTTCAAGAATATTAATATACTTACTGATATGAAACCAGGAATTGAATTTCGAAGCTTAATAAAATATTGCTTAAGTGGTGAAATTGCAAGCTTAATTTTGTTCACAAGTGAAACTTTTCAGAGATCTTAGAGTTCAACTACGCTTAGGCAAGAGCTTACGCCTAAATTAGCAAGATCGGTAAAATAACGACGGTAATAAAAGTAATGCAAATGAAAAGCCAACTAGAATCCGGCAGTTAACAAAGCGATTGTCTCACCTTGAGGCTGCACTCATTTACATACTTCTAGGCTTGTTGGGAGAAGAAGAACCACACAAGTGATGAAACCACTCCGAGGGCGATGGTGCCGTAGATTCGTAGGGAAGGAGAGGACGGCGCCGGCCGTTGAGGAGGTGTGAAACGGCGCCCTTCGATGATCCACGTGTAGACAGAAAAATGATCGTCGATGGACTCCACTAGAGCTGGTAGAATCCGGTCCAAATATTCTTCGACGGTGTCGTCGAAGTCAAAGCCGACGTCGAAGAAGGGAGATCTGAGGATGTTAACTCGTCCGCGGTTGTCGTACTCAAACCCGAAATTCCACTTAGGTACCTCCATGCATTCTTGAAGATGCGAAGGGGTGGTCGCCGCAAGTAACTCTCCAATGAGGGGAGAGGTGGGCGGCGGGTTGTAGAGGGGATGGGGAGGCCGGCGGTGGAGGTGGGGTGAGGAGAGATTGGTTTAGAAAACAAAGACAAAAACTGAGAGTAATTTCAGTTTTGGGGAGTTTTGGAGAGGAATTTGAATTCCAATGAAAGGGCAATTAATTCCTTAATGAAGAATTAATGGGGGAGAGAGAGAGGAGGCCGACGGTGGAAGAATAGGGAGGGAGGGGGAAGGATTAAACAGAAATTATTTCAGTTTTAATGGAAAGAGAAGGGAAAATTAATGGATCCTAATTTGAATTTCAAATTAGGATCAAGGGGTTTAATGTGGTAATTAAAGGAAATCCGCCAAGGGGGGCCGGCGGCATGCATAGGGAGAGAGGGAGAAATTTGGGGAGAAGGGGAAGGGATTTAAAACTTGATTTGATGACATGGCAAGGAATTTAAAATTCCAAATTAATTTGATTTGAAATTTATTTGCTCATGAAAACTTTCCTAATTTGGATTTCCAAATTAGGAAACAATTCAAATTTGAATTTCAAATCTCCAATTTGAAGTTGGTGGAGAAATGGAATGAACCGTATGGGAGGGATCGTCGGCGAGGTGGGCGGCCAGTGGTGGTGGTCTTGGCCGGCGGCGGGAAACCTTAGGGAGGGGCCGGCGGCAAGAGCTATGGGGAGAGGAATTTTGTAGAGCTTTCTTGTGAGAAGAAAATTAAGAAAAGCAATTAAAAGAAAAGGAAAATTTAGAGAACTCACTAAGAGATCTCAATGGAAGAACTCACCAAGAGATCTTCATGCACTCACAAAGAGAACAAAGTACGGAAATTTTCATTCATTCAATAATATCTCAAGTACAATGACAAAGCCTTTTATATAGGTTATCTAGAAATAAAATGCATAAAGACAATAATGCCCTTGGGCTACAATAAGCACTAATTCCCTCATAGGGGTACAAAAGAAAAAACTGGAAATATAAATGACATAAATAAAATAAAGCATCAAAAATAAAGGCTCTGAATCAAGGCCGTCGGTCGGCGTCTCCGGCGATGGTACATGTGTCGAAATCTGATGTCCCCATCACTTACTTTGAGAACACTATAAAGTGTGGATAGAGACAGAAAATTAAACGAAATATAACATTACATAGCTTTTATAATGCCCACTGTCTTAGTGACCCGGTATCCCTATACAATAACCCAGCCCAATTCGATTGAATTGCATTTGTGTGCAATGAATTTTCTAATAAAACCAATTTTACATGTGGATATGTTTAATCAACATGAAGCTCCTATGAGCATTTCATGGTTTCATTCTAGGAAAATTGACATTAAAAAAATGTATATATGATGTAGGATCTTATATACAATTGCTTAAACATCTGTATGAGTAGGCTGGCAATTTGTGGTATGATTTGCTGAATTATGGTAAAATTCAATGGCATGGGCTGGCACACTTGCACTTCCTAAAGTCATATAATGTCTTTTATGAACAATTTTTGCCAATGTATTCAAGACTCAATACAGCATTTTATGCATATTTTTTAATAATTTTAGGACTATTGGAATGATCTTAGCATCAATTACATTGTAACTTGAATTCCTGCTAAATTACAAATTTGGGAAATGACCTGAATGCCCTTAGCCTCTCATAGAGGCCAGGCTCCCTTTCCTTTTTCCATTCCTAGCCATGGGAGAGGAAGGCAATAGAGGAAGAAAGAGAAAGCTTATATCTGCAAGCTTTGAGGTCTGATCCATGCATCGAACTAATTAAGAAAGTTATTATACTCAAGATAGAATATCTTTCTATCATATTTTAGTAAATGTTATATCTCGCATGATTTCTTACTAATGTTTCTCATATAAATAATATTATGTGTATGTATTAGATTTCCAAGGAGATTTATTGATAAATTTGTAATATATTGCTACTTATATATTCCTACACACTTAGAAGTAGATTTGGAAATGCATCCTTCAAATGTGACATTTCTTGCGCAATCCAAACCATACATGATGTACCTATAAGTTATGTGGGAATTTTTGGTAATGGAGGATGATTTACATAAGTAGATTGTTCAATATGGGGGATAGTCAGATTGTTAACAAGGAAATTTTAAGTGATTTAATTTTGCACCTCTTATACATGCATTATGTTTGGTTTATAGGAAGGAATCACAAATGAGTTGATGCTTAGGTTGATAAACCAATTCAAAAATGCTATGGCATACTATGTTATGATTCCCTTATTTATGAACAATTATTACGTCCTCTGACCTGACGTAGAGCTACGTTCGGCCACCAATAACATGTCGCCACGTGCTCTTACTCTAAACCGCGCGGCCCGACGACTTGACCCGGAGCGAAACCCGGAAATGCTATGTTCGCGATTTTCTCGGTATTGCTCGGTATTTGCTAGGTATTGCTTTGCAAAAATGAGAAATACCGCTCTGTGAAGACCAATACCATGCAAATACCGAGTTGTACCGAGTTTTTTACAACTTGGTATTTGCTCAGGATTTGCTCGGTATTGCTAGAGATTTGCTCGATATTGCTTGGTATTTGCTCGGTATTGCTAGAAAAAACTCAGTACAAACTCGGTACAACTCGGTACAACTCAGTATTTGCTCAGGATTTGCTCGGTATTGCTAGGTATTTGTTCGGTATTGCTAGAAAAAACTCAGTACAACTCGGTACAACTCAGTATTTGCTTAGGATTTGCTCGGTATTGCTAGGGATTTGCTCGGTATTGCTAGGTATTTGCTCGGTTTTGCTAGAAAAAACTCAGTACAACTCAGTACAACTCGGTACAACTCGGTACAACTCAGTATTTGCTCAGGATTTGCTCGGTATTGCTAGGGATTTGCTCGGTATTGCTAGAAAAAACTAGGTACAACTCGGTATTTGCTCAGTATTGCTAGGTATTTGAAATATATCCAAAAGGTGATGGGATGTTGATCGGCTCGTCAAGGATTTAAAAAAACGCACGTGCGAGAACCCAAAAAACAGCGGGTCGGGTCGGCGTCTTTTCTTCCTGCTACGTGGCGCTAATACATTGGTGGCTGAATATAGAGGAACATACGTTCACCGGACCAAATAAAAGTTCCTTATTTATGGCATCCAAATGCTATGATAATGTAACACTATGAATATCAATTACAAATCTATCTTAAATATGATCTGCTTTCAATATGATTAAAGTATTAAACTTAAGTCAATTGCCATCGAGATTCTATGATAATGATCACTATGCCAAAAATCATGTTTATATCAAATTTTGTAACTTTATATTATTGACATGCTCAATGATGCATATGCATATCATTTCCTTCTATATTGTGCTTATAGTTATTTAGAATAGTGATGTAATCACTGAATTATAAATCTATAGAAAACACTCCTATTAGTTGATTATTACTTTTCAAAAAAAACCATCTATGAAATAGGTAAATCGTAGAGAGCATTTTATGTGCAACCGATGTGGAGCACCTTCAGTTAGGTAGTGTAGTGGATATTGATCCTCAAATGTGTATTAAAAATTTAGTTTATATGTAAAATGTACTGTTTCAAATTCTTTACTTATACGTATGAGTATATTAATATATATAGTTTTATGTTTAATAAATGTTTGATTTAATGGTTGTTTTCTAAAATTGAAAAAGTTTGAATTGAAATTTTTACAAAAGTTTTCTATAACGTATAGCAAGCTTAAACCTTCTTTTGCAGTCATCCATTCCATCAAGCTACTAGGTCCGATCCTAATAGCTTTCTCCACTAGCATGGTGTGGTTGTCAACTTGTATGCTAATCTATGGACCATGAGGTACACATTCTAAAGTTTGGTCTTCTATAATAGTTTTTTCATTGTAGAAAAAAATAATTAAGCTATGAGACCAAGTGTCATTATCAAATATACTCTCCACTTGCTATAAGAAAAAGTTGGGCCAATGAATTTCATGGTGTTCATTACTGACAATTATTATGGCATTACTCCATTCAATCTCTAAAGTCAAAATACCATGATGTACATGTAATGTAAAAACACAAGCATGAACTATCATCAATTACAAGACAAATTACGGATGTACAAAACTAAGGACCTAACAAGTAGAAACCTTTAGAGAGATGGACGAGCCCACGAGATCCTTTGCTATGCCTTGAATAGATTTTCCTGGATCTACAAAAGAAAAAAATTATTAACCACAAAGGTCAAGAATAAATCATAAACTTTAATGTCAATGTGTAGCAACAAACACCAAATTTTGGAAAATAAAAAAATAATTAATTAATTAGATTAATGATCTATTTAGGATAACTTTTCGAAGCTTTGCATTTCAAATTATAAAGACACTAACACATGACTATCAGTCTTTCAATCACATTTCAAAAAATATTGCTTTCTAGTATAGTATTTGTGACCGAGCTCATCATATAGGCAGTGCAATTACATTCTGTTGTTTCTCAATTCAACATTTTGGAATTCTATCAACACTACAAATATTCATCATCTAATGCAACATCTGGTAGCAAAACCACTGATAATTCTGGGTAACATCAACAGTTTTAACTGCTAATCATTTGGTAACAGAAATTTAAGAACCGTTGCAACTTTTGGGGAATAACAATGGTTTAAACCACTGATATATGCAACATTTTAAGCCACTAATATCATTGTCAGACAGCAACAGTTTAAGCCACTGTTGTATTTACCAAATTGAAACATCCCTAAGACCAACCCCATTCACATGATACCCTAGCTTTAGAAGCTCCCTTCACAACAACTTGTTTGTTCTCTTTCGAGCTCAACATCCTTTGCCACCAGCAACCACTTCATCTTCTTCAAGATCTCCTTCGACGCTCACATTCACAGCTCAATCTCCTTTACCACCTGCCCTGGTAGTTCCACTGCTTGTTTGATCTTGTCGATATATATGTTCCTATTTTTTTGCATTTTTAATACTTTTCCTAAATGTATTATTTCTTTTTTTATTTGTCATTATAGACATAATCAATAAATCTTGCGCCTTTGAATTCGTCTTGTTTTTATGTAGGTTGTGGTTAATATAAGATGTACGGGATTGAAATATTGTTATTAGTTAGTTTAGATTTGAATGATTTATATGTAATACAATTAATTTGTGCAAGCAGTTTACCCGTGATGTATTAGGGTTTGCCAATCTAAAATATTGTATTGATCATATTTGTTGCTAATCACGCCATTAGTTTAAGAATTATGAACAAAAATTAATAAATTTTAATGCACCAAACTTGATTACCATATTAGTCTTGCTCTTTAAAAAATTAGGTAATTATAGCAATAATTAATCATGAATTTTCTTCTATTTTATTTAAGTTATTGAAATTATCACTACCAAAATTCACTATTTTAGGGAACGCTATGTTGCAACAATTTCAAAATTAATACTAAATGTCCCCTTTAAAAGTACTTTAAACTACAGTAAAAGTAAGAAAATGCACATGAGAATGGACAAACACCCTTTAGATACTATAGAGAATTTTGTTTCACTTAATAAATTCTCACAATCACATGAGAATTTGTTAATCGATTCAAAAACAATATGTAATCCTAATAAAATATTTGATACACTATTGGTAGGAAACACTTGTAGAACAAGTGTTTCCTACCAATCCTCGGAAAACAGTGAGAATTCTTCAAAAAAATCCACACAAAACCATGAAATCAGTAGATAATTTGTATTATTTGATAAAAGGGAAACGGAAAATACCAAGATATAATTGATCCTCTATTCGAAAGGATGATCTATCTCTCCCAAATCTCTAGACGCTGCTAGAGCTCAAAACCTAAACTTAAGATATTTCAAATGTCATCCAAATTCAAGATGCCATAATTCTAGAAAAACAAACTATTTAATGCATACAATCCAAAAGGAACTCTCTAAAAAGTCCCTACATTCAATTTTCCCTCCCAACTCCCTCAAAAAACCTTCCTAAAAAGCTCTTTGGAACCTGGCAGTTTGCTCGTCATATGCAGGAGGCGGAGAATTCCGCCTTTGTATCTGTAAGCTGATCCCGTATGGACCGGCTGGACCGGCCTATCAATACTCCCCTCCCAAAGTACCACCTTGTCCTCAAGGTGGAACGAAAGAAATTGTTGCTAAAGCAATTGATTAATAGAACTAGACTGAAAAATGGACTAATACTGGGTTGAATGATCCCTGCCTCCAGCATCTCCCTAATCAATCGCTCGATCTCATCCTTCTGGATTTGGGGATGACAATAAGGATAAACTGATGAGGACATCAGCTAGAGATTTCGACACGTGTACCATCGGAGGAATCATAGATCGACGTCTACGATTCGAAGTCTATATCTTTGATTTATTTTCATGTATTTTTCTATTTGGTATTTTCAGTTTATTAGTTTACCCCTATGGGTGTTGATTCTTTGTTGTAGCCCATGGGGCATAAGAGTCACTTTGTTTTCCTTTGTTGAGACCTATATATAGAGGTCATTGTCTTTATATGAGGTTAATGTTGAATCAATAGAAAATTTCAGATTTTTTAGTTCATGATTTTGTGAGCTTGAGAAGAGATGAGTAGCCTAGGAGAGGCTCAAAAGAAATACCCAACAGCCCCCTTCGAAGGAGCTATTGGTTCTTTGGTTTTTCTTTCTTTTCTTCCCTTTTCTCCTAGCCGTCGGCACAACAAATCCATCTCCTAACCCCCGACCAGCAACCCCCATGCCTCCCCTTTATCTTAGCCGCCTGATCAGCCCCCCACCACCCGTCCAGCCCAAATCCCCCAAACCCCCTTTCACCGTAGCCAACACCCCCGCCGCCCGCCCCCAATTGCACCCCCACCCGCCGGCCAACCCAAGGCCAAGCCTTGGAATTTGATTTTCAAATTCAAGTAGGTTTTCATTGCTTCCTAATTTGTCCCCTTGTCATTTAGGAAGTTTTGTCATTTAGGAAGTTTCCTAATTGAAATTCAATTTGAAATTTGAATTTCAAATCCCTCCCTAAATGATAAAACCTAATTAGGAAACTAATCAAATCTAAATTTAATTCAAAATTTGATTTAATTAATTATTCAATCACCTGGGCCCACTTACATTGAACCTAGACACAAATTTAATCCCCATAGGGTCGGCCCCCTCTCTCTCCCCTCTATTTCTCCACTTTGTCACCTAAGCAACATTTAATCCCTCCCTAAATTCCCTAATAGCCGCCGGCCCCATTAATCCCTTAATTGGGTTTATTTGAATTTCAAATTGGCTCTCCCACTCTAATGAAAATCTGAAATTTAGACTTCAGATTTTCCCTCTCACCTTCTTCCCCCCAACCACTTGGCTTAACCCAAAAGAAACCCTAACCCTAGCCGCCCTTACCCTCCCCAAGTCATCGCATCATCCTCTCCCTTCCTCCTCACAAATCTCAAGCTTGTTCTTCTCCAACCGCCACACCACTATGCATGGCCGATCCGGAAGCCAACCATGGCTTCTTATATGATGATCAAGGATGAACAAACATTCTCGAATCTCCTTTATTCGACGTGAACCTAAACGTGGATGCTTTCGTGGAAGATTATTTAAATAGCTTCCTTTTCACATTGGTACCCTCCATCAAAGAGCACATTCTTACCGGGCATTGGATACTCACTAGTCAACTCGTGGATTCCCTGTCGTCGGCCACCTCTCCAACGAACTATACCTTGGGCGTCATTTGTCTTCTAGTGACATCACTAAGCTTGTTCTCAATCTTCCTCCACTAAAGTATGTCCACCACGAGTGTAAGGGATCCAAGGTGAGCAAAGCTATTTTTTAAACCGTGGATTAGTGTTTCTTTGCCGTAACATTACTTTCTCTATTTTATGTTGTTAACTTGTAAGCATCTTATTAATCTAATTGTAACCACATGCCTTACATAATTTCTACTTGATAATTCTAAAGCCTTATTTGGGAGAAGAAATTTATAACTAATAAAGTTTTAGTAATCAAATATTAACATCCCTAAGTACTTCTTCTTTACTTGCATGGTTTCACATCATATTTGGTATCAGAGCATGGTAAGCATGCATTGCATGTGCCAGAAGTTCCTAGGAGTCTAGTTAACCTTTCCAAAACTCGTTTGCATGCATACCATTGCCTAGTTAATTTAGTTCACTGTTTTTCCTTGCTGTCCATTAAATTCCTGCATCGTTTACATCACTTTAGGTAAGTTTATGATGGGGACATCAGTTGGAAAGTCTACCGTCGACGTGGCCGTAGATCTACGGCCACGGTCTACCCGATGTATTTCTGATTTTAGTATGATCATTTTATTTTGATGTATTTTTATTTCTGCATTTTTCCCTTTTTACCCTTGCTTGAGGGATTGAGTCTTATAGCCCCTCGAGGGTATTTTAGTCTTTTATTTTATGTCATTGTACTAGGCTATTTATAGCCTTCTTCTTGTACTTTTGATGCTTAATGAATGATATTGAAAATTTTCCTGCATTTTGTTTTCTTGAAGCTTTTTCTGAGAGAGCTTGAGAGTTTGAGAGCTTGGTGGAGCTCCTCCCTTCTACATGCCGCCAGCCCCATCTATTGATGGCCCCCTCTTTAATGCCTCATTAGAGCTCTTAATTACATGTATTTGAAATTCAAATTTCAGAAAAAATTCCCTCCACTTTTACTTAAAATCTGAGAATAATTTTGGTATGAAGATTATAGCATATTTTCTTCATCCCAATTAGTTCTCTCATAACCCTAGCCTCTTCCTCCCTCTCACCCGTCCACCCTCTGTCTCTTTTCACTCCCTCTCAAGGTGTATCTCCTACATTGATTTGAGATGGAAGATCAATCCGAAGTTTGAATCCGGTTTTGGTGTACGAAGGCTAAGAATGCATGGATCTCCTCATTGGCCGTCCTCGAATTGACTCCAACCATTGTTGATTCAAAGAGAAGACCACTTACCAATTGCTACTCATTGTGATCAAGGCTAGGGAAGAGAAACTAACGGAAGGTTCGTAGTAATTCACGTCATTTCTCCGAGAAGGTGATCTTCTTCCTAGATCCATTTACTTTTCTAATTCTACTTACCTTATTGAGATTTGTTCAAACAAGAGATTGTGTCTACTTATTGCCATCCATTAGTATTCATAGGAATTGTTACTTCTTTGCTCCTAGACCTCATTGTTATAGTTTGGTTAAGTTGGA